CCAGGCAGGCGCTGTGCTGCCGAGCTAAATCCGCAGCCCCTTCAAAGTACTACTTTAAAAAAACTTGTAACATTTTTTTAAAAGAGCTACTTTTGTGCTTGGTTTGTAATATAAGTTCAAGTAATATATTTTGAGATATCTTGTGTGTTTGGGGGTATTGCCAAGTTTGTTTTATTTTTCTTACCTCTGTGGATTAACTTTGAGTGGCAAACTGTAGTTTCAAACTGGCCTTCTACATGCACTAAGCATGTATCTAAGCTAATCTTTTCTCTCCAGTTGGTATATGCTTTTGGAAATACAGGCTTTTAATATTTTATATGTATCTCTCTCTATTTTTATTTTTTATTTTTTATTTTATTTTTTTGAGACGTGGTCAAGGCTGGCCTTGAACTCACTCTGTAGCCCAGGCTGGCTTAGAACTCCTGAGGATCCTCCTGCTTCATTCAGCCTCCTGAGTGCTGGGATTACAGGCATGTGCCACTACACCTGCCTCTTTAATATTATTTTATATAAAATAGGTAGAAGATAGTACAAGAAATAAAAACCATTTGGCAGAATCAAATTAAAATTTTTTGGTACTGTGTCAATGTACATAGCTGAAGAAAAGCTGTGTAATACTTTTAGGACCTCATAAGCATTTCTAACAGAAAGGAAGTGCTAAATTGGTACCATCGTTCCCTCATTTGCTAGGTGAAGAAATCCACAGGTTTTGGGCTCAGGGCATATGCCTATAATTTCAACACTCTGGTGGCTGAGGCAGAAGGATCACCTGGAGTTTGAGGTCAGTTTGCGGTACATAGTGAGACCCTCTCTCAAAAGTCAATCAGTCAATCAGATCCAGGGGTAGTCTTCCATTTTGCTCTTTCATCTCCCATCCAGGCAGCTCCCAAATCCAGTTCTTTTGTTCTTCTTTTCTAATCTTTATTCTCCAGTTCTTCTGTACTACCAGTTACCATAGTCTTCTGTGCCACCATCCTCTGGTCCAGGGTGTCTACAAGAATGGCCTCTCTTATTTGCCTGTTTCCTGTGATAGCTCCCTCCACTTTGACCTTCACTTCAGCCATATTTTTGCTAATGTGAAGTTTTCTTTCTTTTTTTTTTTTTTTGAGACAGGGTCTTGCTGTGTAGTTTGGGCTGGCCTTAAACTAACTTTGTAGCTCAGGCTGGCTTTGAACTGGCAAGGATCCTCCTGCGTCAGCCTCCCGAATGCTGGGATTACAGGCGTGCGCCACCACACCTAGCTTTTTGTCTTTTTGAGACAGGGTGTGGCTGTGTAGTTCAGGCTGGCTTTGAGCTCACTTTGTAGCCCAGGCTGGTCTCAGACTTGCAGTGATCCTCCTGCCTCACCCTCCTGAGTGCTGGGGTTACAGGCGTATGCCATCAACTGCTGATGTGAAGATTTTAATGTGACTTTTTTTTTTTTTTTTTTTTTTTTTTTGCTTATATTTTTTTTTTTTTTTTTTTTTTTTTTTTGCTTAAAACCATTTGTTTTCTGTTGCCTTGGTTGAAATTCCCAAACATTTTATTTGATCCTTTGTCAGCTGGTTCCTGTTTCATTTTATGTCAGTTTCTTTGTACTTCCCCTCCTTCCTCACCTTCTCCTGTCCTCCCCAGAATCTGTGCTCTCACCTTCCACCTGTGGAAGTCCCACTTCAAGTCTGACTAATTTCAACCTTAGCTTTTTGGCTAGTTTGTATGTCACTTTGTTCTGGAAGCTTTCTTAAATTTTACTTCATCCATGCTATTTGCAACGATATATACTCCTGTCAGTCATAATATTTACCACACTTTGTAATTGATTAATTGTTCTCTCCCTTGTTGAATTAAGCTGTGAGAGAACTGGGTGCGTTTTGGTCTTTTCTGTCCCCATTAGAGTGCCTGGCTTCTAGAAGATACTCACTATGTACTTTTTTCCCTTGCTCTTTGAGACAGGGTCTCCACAGTGTTGCTCAGTCTGGTCTAATTCCTGTCAAGTCAGGCGAGTCTCTGTAGCTGGGACTACAGACCAATATTGTGCTGGCTTATACTTTGTAATTTATGTAGTTTTCGTCTGCTAAGGGATTCAACCCAGATCTTCCTGAGTACTAGGAAGATCCTCTGCCAGTGAGCCACATCACCAATTTGAATACTTAAAAACTGAATGACTTTGGTTCTTTTTCTAATACCTTGTGATTTTACCACTTTTGCGTAGCAAAATGTTTCCAGTATTTTTCAGCGAGGGCTTCTGAATTTAGCTAGTTTTTCCTCATGAAGACAAACATTTACTGTAGCTTTGAATATTGGCCAGAATTACAGTTTTTTATAAAAAAAATCACCAGAGCAAGGCACAGTGGTAGTGCTCACCTGTAATCCTAGCTATTTGGAAAGCTGAGGCAGGAGAACTACAAATTCAAGACTAGCCTGGGCATCTGATTGAGAGCCTGATTAAAAAATAAAATTACAAAATAATACTGAAGAAAGCTCAGTGGTAGAGCACTTGCCTAGCATGTATAAGACTTTGGGTTCAATTCCCAGTACTATTAAGAAAAAATTGAGAATGATGTTTAAAGTTTAGGATGTCATAAATTCTGTGATAGCATGGCCTTTTTGTAAACTAGATACTATAATTCTGCATTTTGGTAAAAAATATTTAGACCCTGTTTATCTGTAGGTAAGATAAATCTTGCAAAAATAACTTCATGACCCTCTAAAATTGCAAATACAATCATAGCATTTGAAGTTTTCTATAAAATTAAATGAAACATCTCTAGAAGATCTATGACTCCATTGGGTCCTTAGCATAAAATGTAGGAGTAGAAAACAGTGTTGCCCTTAAAATGTGGATGCTAGAAAGTTCACTTGTTTCACTCACTAATATACTTGCTCCCACAAAACCAGACTTACACAACACAACACAACAAAACAAAACAAAGCCAGACAGTCCTACTGAATTAGTGTATGTTTGGGCATTCAGTGTTGCTTGCAGATAATTTAAGTCAGAATTGCTGTCTTTGAGCATCTTGTTTTGCCTTGTGAGGCTTTCTCCTAGTATCTTCTTTCACTTAATCAGGATTAGACAACTGTAAGGCACAAGTAGAGGGACTGTTGCAATGTAGTCATTGACAGTGAATCTGTAACTGTTGGATTTCAAAGTTTATTATAGATTTTTTTAAAGCTTGTTTTTTTGATATCTTTGCCCGTGTACAGCACAGTTGATTCAGTTGACTGTTGTACAACAGTTTTTATCCAGCAGTTTTTTCTTGATGATATAGAGAAAATTTCAAAAATTTATGTAGTTTTTCCCCTTTAGAGCTATACTCTAAAGGTCATGTCTAAAATGCCTAGATATGATTTAACTGTGAC